GGGTCAGGGAACTCCTCTGAAATCAAGTCCTAAAAACATAAAGTAAGCACCAACAGAGAGGTTTTATTTTAATCTCAGTCCAGTGTCCTCCTGAAGGTGCAGGGAGGGTCTTCAAGGGGCAATTTCAACTCCTTTGGTCCTTTGCCTGCCGCCTTCTGCATCAGCAAAGAACGAAAAGGAAACAGAAAAAAAGGAGCAGATTCCAATGATACACTGGTATCTCATTTTAAAAACAAAATAAGTGGTGCAAAGCCATTAAGGCAAATCACTCCACTTATTGTATTATTTTAAAATACTTCTGCAAGATTAAAAATTAAACATATATTTTACTGCTGCAGTTTTGCCAATTCTTACAATACTGGCAATAACCTCATTTTAAAAAATATAATTCAAGCTCTAGAGTCATGAAATTACCCAAAAATTCAAGCTCCACTTTAAAACACAAACATATGCCTCTTTAGCCTTGCAGTTGTCTCCAAAAGAAAAAAAAAAAAAAAAAAAAAAAGAGGCCAAATAAAATCTGGACAGTGAGGCTCACAGCACTAGGAAAAAAACCCCAGCACATCAAGAAAAAAATGTCTACTTTCTTTTTCTTTCTTAATCTTGTAAAATTGAGCAAGTCCATTACAAGTGTGCCTGGAACATGATTTTTAAATATTTATGATTGGCAGTTTCAGCAAGTTCTTGCAGCATCTTCTTTCTAGTAAAAATAAATATTATGGGGAAAATGAGTATTCTGGGGAACATCTGCCTTCCTCAACACCAAGAGCCCTTGTATCAGTGAGCAACCAGAGTGCAGTCCTTACAAATTCTGCACTCTGCATGCATCAGAGAAACTTTAGTACACCATCTGCTGCACAAAGATTTTTCTTTTAATTAAATACAGTATTTGAGTCCAAAGTAAGATTTTTCCTATAGTTAAGAAGAAGTCTCACCAATCTCAACACAAGCTTTACTTTTTTCTTGAGTTTATCAATAATCCCTGAGAAGCTCAAGACCATGGATTTAATAAGATGCTAAATGCAAACAAAAAAAAATTGTTTATTTTCAGTAAGAACACACTGAAGGCGTGGAAAGCTTAAATTCAACGGCATTCTATTAACACAGCTAAAGAATAAACAGAAAAAATTAAACTAAGGAAAAAAGTAAACAAAAAGAACAATATCTTCTTGCTCAAAACAGAAGAATCATGCTATGTAAACTACATACAGCAGAAAAAAAATAATTCAAAAAAATTTACAAACAGCAGATTTTGCACTGAAATAATGTCTGACTGAAACTGAGGGGAATTTAAAAACAATATAAATAAGTGAGTGATTTTATTTAAAACAAAGACTACGTGCTAATGCACTGCCTCTTGAGCCCTTCTGGCTGGAGATACATTTTCCAAAGTGGTTATTCTCTGTGGCAAACAAATAGAGCGAGCCCATGGCTAGCAGAAACCAAACTCCCGACGTTTTCTCCCCTGCTGTGACCCTCCCAGCTAAAGGTCTCAGCCTGTGAATAAAGCACAACACTCATTTCTGCTCCAAAATCCCACCCAGCTCCCTCAGGAGCGCAGGGAGCGCTGACACCCCCCACCTGCCTGGGCACAGTCCCCGCACAGGCTGCAGAGCAACGCACTATTTACCCCCCAACCCTGACCATGTTCCACTTTTATCCTGCCCCACAGACCAGTTTCTGCCTGAACAACAGAGATGGAGGTGCTGGAAGCCAGGTAGGGAACAGCCTCCTGCAAAGCTTCGGATTCTCTGCCCAGCCCCTTTCTCCACCATGCCAAGTGCCCCAAAACCTCGCTAAGAGCCATTTTGTAGCTGCAGGACTAGCACAGCCCTAAACTGGGATTATACGATGCCCTGAAAACCAGCAAAAACAAAGGCATAGCCCTATTCTGCACATATCCTTTATGATCCTTGGCCATTAAAGCCTCTGCAGCTTCCCCAGCTTCCTCCCAGCCAGCAGGACCACCAGCAACTTCTCCCCTCTCCAAGTTTCCCAGATGTCCCAGGTCAGGCTACCTTGATCAGCCTGCACAGGAACAAACCCCCTATGTGCAGGCTGGGTCTCTCTCAACAGAAACTTTATGTTATCACCCATTCAACCATTTCAAAGTCGAGCTTTGGCAATTTCAAAGCTGCCACTATTAAACAAGTTACCAAAACAAAATCATTCAGGTAACCTCTTTTTTTTTTTTTCCCCAGCCCTTTTTATTAAAGTTTCTTTTCACACAAACATTTGAAATGGAGAAACACTACTGAAGTGTCAGCTAAAAGAAAACCTAAGCAGTACACAACCTTCTTTACTGAGAATAAAATTAGCATCTTAATATTAAAATATACCTGTGCCTCCTTAGTCAACTGCCTCCCCCAGATCCTGCAGAGGGTTTTTTCATGACTACTACAGAACAGATGTCTGCAAAGCCATCCTAAACAGTCTCCTATCAAGTCTGCAGGGCAGGTCCTTGCTTTGCCATTCTCACCACTGTAAGCTCTTACAAAAGTATTTTTACTGCCTGCAGTTATGTTCAGGAGAGCAGACACTTGCAAGACATAAATTATATTTTTATCCCATACAAACAGCATAGAAAGGTTAACCAAACATTTTAGTTCAGGGGATGTACAGATTAGTCTGTACAATACAAGCTATTTCTTTCTGGACACTCCAAAATAAAATTAGATTTCTCAAAGAATATTGGCTTTCTCTGGAGTTTTACTTTTCCAAACCACCTCTGCAAAAATATTTTCCTTACAGCTGATCATACTAATGGCATAAATAACAATGATGGTTTATCAAACAGTTGTGAAAGTTAGGCTCAGCTGAAAGAGGGGAAGGGTTAGTGTGTGGTGCTTTTAATCTGGGGACATTACATTAAAAAAATAAAATTCAAACACAGAATACTACACCCTATCCACTGCTTTGGAGCTTTACAGCCAACAGAGTTACTACAGGAACTTAATTCCTGGTGTCATAACGTTGAGATACTTGAACACAACCTGATCAAAATGCCTTCAGGACTCTGCCTTCACACTGTGTGCAACCACTAGCTGCTAATGGCACGCACAAAGCTTGAAAAAAAATAATATTCTTTTCAGAGGATTACACCAGACACAGAGACAGATATGCAAAAACAATGACACCAAAGGAATCAAAATATTCATGGCTCATAAAGCGTGGTAGAGAAGGAATGGCTCCAGCTCATCGCCTGCCTTTGCTTAGATTCGTTATAGCACAATGAATCAACGTTACCCCTTTTAAAAAACCATCCCAAGTGCTGTTTATGTGGGGACAAATCCACCTAATCCTGCTCATACAAGCAAGCACAGCAACTTCAAGGGAGCTGCCAGTCTGGGAGAGGACAGCAAAATACATCCCCTTTTTGTGAACAGTCTTGGGATTTTTCTGGGGTGTGACACAAGTCCCATTATTATGACACACTAAAAGCCGAGCTAACATGGCACCTGCCCCGCCAGCGCTGTTCTGCCCTGGCTGGCTCTGTAACGCTTTTGTCCAAGCTGTGAGCACAGGGAATGCCCACAGGTCCCCCACTGCCAGGCCCTGGCTTTGAAAATCATGAGCTGTCTCTCCCCAACTCACAAAACCAGCCTAAGAAATCTGTGAAAAAGGATCTTTCCTACTCCAGGACTCTGTATCTCCCTGCAGTTGGCACTGGTGAGGACGAGACTTTTTGCTACTTTTTACAGAAAAGCTTTCTTATTTTATCATGAGAGCTGAAGACTCAGCTGCAGGGCGAGACAGCTTTTCCCTGGCCTTCACCCCAAAAGTCTCAAGGCCAGCAGTACCCACCAGCACAGCGTACCATGCTCGGGGGACATGGCCTTCCTGCCCCACCTCATGGTGCTGCTGCTGAACCCCATGCTTTGCAAGCATTTCAGAGCCAAACAGGTCCTCAGCCCTTTTTGTATCCATCCCAATTCCATTCTTTCATCTCATACCACACACACCCCCACTCCAGCTGCACCTGCCCATCCATGCCCCATTTTGGGGGGACTGCAGAGTGGGACAGCGGAGACCCCAGACCTCAGTGGGGTACAGTCAACAGTTTGCTCCATTCTTCACTGCACTGGTAGCGAGCCCTGTCTGGATGGGGAGGTCCCAGGGCTGGGGACTGAATGGCGACCCAGGGGAAGCCAAATGAGCCAGGACACTGTTTTTAATTCCTGGCAATAAAAATGGCAGGGGCAGTGCTGCCAGCCAAAGGAAGGAAGCAACTGCGGGAGCAGGCAGGAGGGCAAGTATGCCAGCACAGGCTCAAGGACCCCGGGAACCAGCCCGAGTCACTGCGGAGCCAGAAGGGACAACCCCGGCCACAGCAGAGCCCCACAGTATGGGACGGCGTTTTTGGGGATCGACCGCAGCGCATCCGCCGCCAGCCCTGCGCCCCCGCGGAGCCCTGCGCACCCCGCGCCTCCCCGGGTCCAAAGCAGTAACGAAACCGAGCCTACCGGCACGTTTCCAAGCCTGGCGCGGTCCGGAGCGAGGCAGACGCGACCCAGGTGGGTGTCCGAGGAGAACCCGACGGCCCCCGGCGGCTCCGCTGCTCCTCGCCCGCCACGGGCCGGGGCGGCCCCGCTCGCCCCCCGGGAAGTGCCCGGGCCGGCAGCGCTCCGCGTCCAGCCCCGGGCTCGGCTCTGCGCACAGCGAGAGAAAGACTTCACAGCAAAAAAGCAGCAGAGATCCATGTCTAGCCGGGGCACCTCGAAGGGAACTATTTTAAGTGGTCAGCGAGGAGCTGGAAGGATTTATTTTTATTTTTTAGATGTGCAGCTGCAAAGGCTGCGATTCACCTTTCTCCTGTACTTTTCTGACAGAGAAACCTTCCCCCCCCCCCGTTTTTTTTTTTTTTTTCCTTTGGAGAAAGGAGAGGGTAGACTTGTTCAAACGTAAATTTTAAAGCATGCAAGGCTCCGCGGGTTGCTCCCCCGAGCGGCCCCTGCGGCAGGAGGGAGGGGATGGGCCACCCCGGCCTTCCCCTGTGCCCCCAGTCAAGTTCAAGATGGGCCTGTCTGGGGTCTCCCCCGGTCAGCGGAGGTGCGGGGCGGAGGGAGGATGCAGCTGCGGAGCCGCACGCCCGGGCTGGCCGCGATGGAGGGGAGCACCGGCCGCGCTCTGCCGGGGCAGGAGGACCTGGGTATCCCCACGGCACCTCCGTCCGGCCCGCCGGAGCCACCGGGGACACGGAGGTTTCCCGGGTAAGGACGGTTTCCACCGTCTCTCTGGTTGCTTGGAGCTCCTGTGCGGCGCCAGAGGGGAAGTTTCTCGGATGAGGTGTCTCCACTCGACCCCTTTTCCTCCTGAGGATGGGGAGGCTTTTCCGCATCCTAGTCAGAAATAAAGGAAAACAAAACAGACGATAACGGAGAAACTCCTGCCAGCCGCGAGGTCGCCCCGGCCCCGCCCCCGGCATGCAGCCCGGTGCCGGTCCCGCACACTTGGCCGGCCCCCACATCCCAGCGCTGCATCCAAGGGCCGCCGGGCGCTGCGCCGCTCCGGTACTCACCGTCGGGACCTCCCCGTCGAGGCGGCCCCCCGAGAGGCGCTTCTCTCCCTCGGCGGCGCCGCGCCCCGAGATCGGTCCGCTCGGGAAGGTGGCGGGGGAGCGAAACTGCCGGGCGGCGGAGGGCGGGGACAAAGGCACAGGAGAAAAGCGCGGCGGCGACGAGGAGGCTTCACCCGGCATCGCCAGCTCAAAAACAACGGCCCGACCCCGGCGGCAGCGCCAACCGGGCCCGCGACGGCACCCGCGGCTGCCCCGTCCCCCGGAGGAGGTCAAAAACGGCTCTTTCCAAAACAATAAACTTTTAATGCTAAAGCAGTTATAGCCAAAAGCTGTACAGAGTTGGAATTTTTTTGTTTGTTTGTATTTTTTTTTGTTAGAAAACAATTTTTTCTCCCCCATAAATATTGTTCAGTTCCCGGCACTTTGTATTAATAATTAAATTACGAACGATAAATATGGCATCATGGGTATGTATTTACAAAAAAAAGTTATTACAAAAAGGCAACTGTTATACTAAACGTCACAATCTGGGCAGAATAAACACCACATCCTCATCCTGAAAAATACTGACCGACCCCATCAGACGAGAATACATTCACAAGTGTAATGCTTGGAGAGAGAGAAGGAAAAAGAGGAGATCAGAGAAAGAAGCAGCAGGAGAGCTAGAAAGGAAAGTTCAAGACATAACAGGACTTTGGCACGGTTTAAGACTGTAAGTTTAAACAATCACCACTAAGGCGAAGGATAATTTTCATCCTCATGTCAACATCCCACCGAAAGAAGGAAAAAACAAAACAAATTAGGAATAAAAAAAGTGAGGAATTGGAGGAAGAAGGACTTGGGCAAGGAGGGGGGGGGAAAAATCAAAAGAAACAATTGCGACTGAAAAAATGACAACAAAAAAAAGAAATCTAATCCTGAGAAAAGGACATGGCTAGTCCAGCGTCTGGGCTTGCAAAAAAAATAGTAATAATTATAATATAATAATAAAAGACCCCCCTCCATATCCTGGCAGTTAACTAGGTGTAGCCCTATGTGGTCGTCGGTGTGGAAACTCCATTTCCATGGGAGCGAGCTGCAGTTGGCTTGGTTTGTCCTTTTTTTTTTTTTTTCCTCGTTCCCAATGCATTTGGTCCAGTCTGTGGCTGGGCAGCAGCTGCCTTCACACATACCACTCATTAAAATTGGGGGGCAGTCCAGGGTTGTGGCCGGGGTTACTCTGCAGGGCGGCCGGCGGTGTTTTAGTGGAGTCCTTACTGCCGGCGGAGCCCACCGCAGGGGGGGTGGAGGACTCGTACCCCGAACTGGCTGCAGGGGAAGAGTCCGACCCCTGGGATTCGTGCACCTAAAACCAAGAGGCAGAGATGGGAGCGAGCTCGGGGTCCCCGCCACCTCGCTCAGCCAGGTTGGGGTGTTGCTCCATGCAAGAGGGACAATGTGGTCCAGCAGCTCGGCCCTGCCCGGCAATCAGGCAGTTCATGCCTGGCTGGCCACTGAGCACCAGCAGCAAACGCCTGCATCGGCTCCTGGGCACTTGGCTGCAGCATCCTGGCGTGGGGGGCTGCAGCATCCCAGCACAGGGGCTGCCGTGTCCCAGCACGGGGCCCTGCAGCCACAGGCCAGGTTGCACTTGAGCGGCCTTCCAGCACCGAGCCACGCTCTGCAAACCGGGCAGCACTCGCACCAGTGGGAGCACAAAAAGAAACTACGCCATTTCCCCGGGCTGCGCTCCAGCCACGGCCCAGACACTGGGGACTGCTCGGGCCATGCCAGGAGCACGAAGCTCAGCTCTGCCCTGCTCCAGGGGAACTAGCCCTGAGCACGCCAGCGACTCAGCATCCCTGCTCAGGGAGGAAAAGACTGGAGCACTGGGGTGATTTACCTTCATGTGTTTCCTAAGTGAGCTGGGGTGGGTGTAGGATTTGTCGCACACCTTGCAGATGTAGGGCTTGTCCGAGGTGTGGACGTGCATGTGTTTCTTCCTGTCACTGCTGTTGGCGAAGCGCCTGTCGCAGCCCTCAAACTCGCACTTGAAAGGCTTCTCACCTGTGAAATTTAGAGAGGGTGAAGGCGGGCCGTTCCCCTCTCCATCCCCACCTGCCTCCTCCCAGGACAACATCTGCCCCGCTCACCCCACCTTGGGATGCACAAGCACCACAACAAATGAAGAAGGGGAAGATGGACAGAAGGGTTCATTACGTGTTGGGTAAATTTGGATCAGCCTTCATTACTTTTAACTCACCTCCCGCCAGGCCCACGCTGGGCTCCGGCAGGGAAGGCAGCTGGGCGAGCTTGGAGAGGGAGAAGACCCGAGATAAATTCAGCGGCTCGGACAGCTTTACAAGACGTACTCCAGGATACAAGCCAAAATACGTTTGCTTCCAGCCTTCCCCCTCTCTTCCCCTCCACCCTTGCGGGAGGGCTGAAGGAAAGTCAGGGCTGCAAATAAAAATACTTTGACAAAAGTATCGCTGATTTATTTAGGAGAGACGCCAATCAGGCCTAAAAATAAAATAAAAAAAGGAGCGGAAGTCACCGAAAATGAGATTTCATTAGCATTTCTATGGTTCCCTCCGCAAAGGCGCGCAGAAGGCCGAGAGCGGCGGCAGCACCGCGCACCCCGCACTCCGCCGGCCCGTCCCTGCAGCCCCGCGGAGCCCCGTAAAGCCCCGCGTCCCGGGTGGGATGGAACACATGAACCCGGGCCTTACCTGTGTGCGTCCGCTTGTGAATCTTGAGATTCTCGGAGCGGGCAAAGATCTTGCCGCAGCCCGGGAAGGGGCAGGGGAAGGGCTTCTCGCCCGTGTGCACCCGAATGTGGTTCACCAGTTTGTATTTCGCCTTGAAGGACTTGCCTTCCCGCGGACACTCGTCCCAGTAGCAGATGTGGTTGTTCTGCTCCGGCCCTCCGACATGCTCCATGGTGACATGGGTCACCAGCTCGTGCATGGTGCTGAAAGTCCTGTCACAGCTCTTCTTGGGCCGGCTGAGCTGGCTCTCGTCGAGCCACTTGCAGGACAATTCTTGCTTGATGGGCTGGCGCATGTACCGAAAGAAAGCCCCGGGGCCGTGGTGGTGATGGTGGTGGTGGTGGGCCGCAACGTTCATGCCCATATTCATGTGGTTGTAGTTGTGGAACTGAGCGCCGGCGTAAGGGTCCGTGCGGGGGCTGGAGACGGCCCGGTAGGGATCCGGCCGCCCGAAGAGGTCCCCGCGCAGCCCCAGGTGCATCTGCCCGTTGTCCACATGCCCGTTGGGGGACGTGTGGCTCGGGCTCTGCTCGTGGAGCCCCGGGAAGAGCAGGTATCCCGGGGTGTCCGGGATGCCACCGGGGCCATGCAAGCCGCCGGGGGAGCCGCCGAAGAGCCCGTGCTGCGCCGTGCCGGAGGCGGCGTCCGCGATGCCGGAGCCGCGGTTGCGGAACAGAAAGTCGCGGGTGGAGTTGAAAGCGGCGGCCCCGCCGTACGAGGGCACCTGGCCGGCGTGGTGGTGGTGGTGGTGGTGATGGTGGCCCAGGGCGCTGGCGTAGCCCGGCGCCTGCGGCGTGAACGCCGAGCTCTGCCCGGCGGCGAGGTCGTGCGGGGCCGCGTTCAGCTTGAAGGCGGCGGCGTGCGAGGAGTCCCCGAAGGGGCCCAGCCCCATGCCGGCGGCGGCGGCGTCGCGACCCGGCATCTCGTGGTGCCGGGGCGCCGCGAAGCCGCCCACCCCCAGCGCCGGGAACTGTGGCCCTCCGTCCAGCAGCATCGTCATGGGCGCGGGGCCGTCGGCGCGGCAGCAGCCTGCCCGCCCCCCCCTTCCTCCTCCTCCCGCCCGCCCCCAAAAAAGTACAAAACCACCCTAAAACGTACCCCCCCGCCCCCCCGCTGCGGGCAAGCGCGGCCCCGGCCGCGGGCGGGCAGCGAGGCGAGCACCCCCCGGCCGACACCAAAACAACAACAACAACAAAATAACAACCCCAACAACCGGCCCCAAAACAGCCACCCGCCCCCAGAGGCGCCCGCCCCCCGCGCCGGGCCGGGCAGGGCCGGGCCGGGCAGGGCGGCGCAGCAGGGCGAGGAGGCGCAGCGCGGCCGCGCTCCCGCTCGGCGCCGTCGGGGCACTGACGGGGCGCCCGCCCGCGCCTCGCACATAAAACCAACTCCGGGGCCAGGCCGCGCCGCGCCAATGGGGAGCCGCGCGCCGCCGGTCACCTGACCCGCCGCCCGCCGCTCCATTGGCCCCGCCGCGCTTGATTGGCACGCGCCCCGCGCCGCCGCGGCCGCTGATTGGGCGCGGGCGCCCCGCAGGTACAGCGGGGTGGCTGAGGGGGGGCCGCGGGA